CAGATCAATGTGTAATTGGAAGCCATACATAGACATCTTAGTCCCTAGACAGATTTAAATGTCTATATGATTTTTTAGTTTTGAGAATTTAGTTGAGGCACAACTTTTGAGCTATTAAGCTCAACTTTTCAAGTGATTTTTTATACCAGACCTTAGTTAGATTCGAACACAAGCATCTTGCTATCAGGGCAGTCAGTTATATATATATGAATTCCGAGCTATTAAACAACACCTACATACTTAATGCATAATTACAATATTTAATGAAATGTTTAATAACTACTTCTCTTTAATAATAATAATTCATTTGCAAAGCATTGAAACAAATTTCTGATTCAATCTTAACAAAATTATGACAACGATACCACAAACTACGAATAATGATAGTGATAACGACCCCTTCTCAACTTCTTAACAACATATATTAAATACTACACCCCAAAATTTCAGCTCACTATATTCATTTTATAAGATATTAATAAATGTTTTAAAACAAACATAATGAGAATTATAAATATAATAAGCTGTTTAATATACTTAGGTTATATGCAATACAAAATAACTATTAACTATAACTAACTATGTTTTTTCATATTTTTATTTTGTTTTATTATTTTTGTTTATTTATTTTACCTTCTTATTTTTCTTATTTCTTTATTAAATTAAAAATCTTTTAATCCCTACCCACACCATTAATATTTGACTCCTTTAATAATATAAATGCTAATATTGTAATATTTAATATAACTATGAAAAAAAACCATAGCTTTAAAACCCGAGATGGTAAAATTAAAATAATAATAAAAACCTATGGCAGTCCAAAAATATGACATTTTGGATTTTGTAATATGGTATTAACATCCATAGCAGAAATCAGTATTAATTTATTATAAAGATAATTTTACTGTGTAACCTTTTGTAAACATATTATTAAGATCCAAACGTTAATTTTAAGAATGAAACAACACTGCTGACTTATTTGCCCCAACTTTTCTAAATCCACTTTTCCAATAAAAGTATACCCAGAACATAGTATTGCCAAAACTTTAGACCCATTTATTGCAAATACTTTTAAAAATACTTCAAAAACATACTGTCTAAAATTTTTCTTGTGTTGGTGTTTTAGATTATAATTATAATTATAGATCAATTTTTTTCAGTGTTTGACATAAAAATAAATTTAACGTTGCAACGCCGGGCAAATAAGATTTGCCGCATTTATCAAAACAAAATATTAATAATAATTCCAGTGTTCCCATTTGAGTTCATGTAAGGCGTTGTGATCTACAACCCTACGAAGCCTATAAATTATTAAACTTCTACACAATTTCATGCGCTGAAGTTGTAGTGTATTTAAGCAATAATATAAACTAACCAAATGAGAATTATAAATGAGAAATGACAAATTTAAGAATTATGAGAATTATTGCTATTATTTTATTATTAAATTTTAATTATTTTGTATTAAATTTTAGTAAACATATTCCAATAGTCGAAGGTCTCGACTAGCAGTACTTTCTAGTTATTTAATTCTTTTATTTTGGTATTTCTATGTTATAAAAAGGCCGGGATAGATCACTGCGTAAATTCCAAAAACTACTTGTAACTTTGTTACCAAAAAAATCACATCTTAGTGTACCTATTTGGTATAGACAAAAGCATAAATGCTTAATACTATATCTAACTTTAGTCCTAAAAAAATTTTCTGCAATATTCATCCTAATGTATAGACGAAGGCATAAACTCTAAAAACTATATAGGTATAACTTTATTCCCAAAAAATGTTCTGTAATATTCATGCTGGTATATTGGATATAGATGAAGGCTTATATTTGATTGGATTTTGAAAAAATTGAGAGTTATGTCACCATGTCCCTGTGTTCTTTAAGGATTATTGTGACAAAGTCACTTTAAGTCCATAGGCGCGTAGCAGTTAAAAATGCCATTATGTTCTTTGGAGAGATGTTGCCAAACTCCATTATTGGTGAATAGGCAATTGATGGGTACCGAATTCTGAATCTGGCGAGACTATCACAGTGACACAGAATGTGTTCTATTCATTAATTTTAAGTTTGACAAAGCTTCATGAAGGACTGTAGAATGGTTTTGGCTTAATATAATGTCAGACCGCTCCTTTTCTGGCTAGTTCTTTGGCTGTCGGCTTTCTCATTACTTTCAAATCCGCTATATCCTGGAATCCATATTAAGTGGATCCTGTTCCTTTCAGCAAACTTTTTGAGAAGTTGAAGATATTCTTACACTAGTTGAACATGCTACTAATCCGGGTATTAAGGATTTCAACACAAAAGTTCAGTGTACCCAGTCAAAGCACCGCATTTTAACTGCAGCTAAATCACAACCAAAATAAAAATTGGGAACTTAATAAATTATGTACAATAAAAGAAATTGAATGAGAAACGTATGTGAATTCAACTTAAAAAATGAACTACGAAATACTGTGCATTCCCTCTTTAATTTATTCAACTTTGAAGTACTAGAATAAAATGCTTAACTCTTGCAGCGACTGACGATTTTGTTGTTACTCCAACGTTAAGGCGTTGAAATCCACTTAAGCCAACTTGAACATATTGCAGCTGTCGGTTTCTGCAGCGAATTGCAACTTAATTGAACAAATACCAAAATGTGAGCAGCAAACTGCAACTACATCGATGCAAAAAAAAAAAAAAATAGATTCAAAATGTACGGATCTGTTGTTTACTTAGCGTCTAGTATCCTTCATTCTTAATATAATAAAGAGAAAAAATGGAATGAATAAAATCGAATCTTAAATGACAAAAGATAAAAGAATGCCATGATAAATGCTAATCGACACGCTGACGAATGTTGCTTTCTAATGGTAGATTTACGCTGACAATTGTGCTCAACAGCACCAGCACCAGCACCAACTCAAGCACCAGCACAAGCTACAGCAACAGCAGCAACGGCAACAGCAACAGAGTTGCAATATTGCCAACGACAAGGGATAGAATTGCATACATAATCAAATTGTTTGAATATTTAACGAAGCGTTAGGAACAGCAACAAAAATTGTAACAAAATATACCCGATTTCGTCGCATGCTTTTGGGTTGACAAAGTAATTGATTAGGATGGATTGTAACAAAAATTATGAAGGTTTTAAAACTCTTTAAAATTTAAATAGGATTTAAAGATTAGTGGAGTTGTTTTAATAGATTAAATTTTGTAGAAAATATTGGATAGGTTAGGTTAGGTTTGGAGGGCGCGTACTGACAGTTGTCAGCTCGCCTACTCGGAGGCATATATTGCTTATTATGATGCCATCCAAAAATGTTACCGGGAGAAGCAAGTTGCTAACCTTTGTAATGCTTGTTAAACCATTTGGTTTCCCAGGTGAAGTTGAGGAGATCCGTTAAGTTAGATCCCCAAGACATTGAAGTCGCCTTGTCTGAAGTCTTGGACAGAGACAGAGAAAGTGATTGATAGATTCTACCTCCACTTCATCTTGACAACTACAGCATAATCCACTTGTTAGAACTCGCCACCGTTAGAGCATAGGCGCAATAGCACAGTGACCCGTTAGTACTTCAGTAAGCACACGAACTGCAGCTTTGCTGAAGCGTAAAAGGTTTTTCGTTTTATTTCGTTTTAAATATTGTTTCACAATATACAAGAAATAATTCCAAGACCACTGATGATGGGTACTTGAAACAACTGTATTGGTCAGCCAAAAATTCAATTAATTAAAATAATTTAAGAAGAATATTAATTTTTTCTTGCCAAGGGTTACGAATTTTAAGACTGTCAGTTCCAGTCTAAACAAATTATATACGGACTATAAACTAATTAAGAAGTTCGAATATTTCCTAAGACTACTCCTGTTGAGTAGTTGGCAATACACGAAATAACGTTGTATGGTCAACCAAATTGCAATAAATTAAATAAATTTTTGTCCTTGTCTTCTCTTTGCTATTCGCATCCTTTCTTTGCTATTTGAAATCTCTGTAACAAAATATTTAAAAAATTTCTTAACTTCATGACCTAAAAGAGATTTCTAATATAAGAATTTATTATGTATATATAAATAACTAACCAATTATTTTATTTATATTTTTTTCAACTGCTACTTGATACTAGCAAAACAAAAGATGTAAGCAAATTAAAATTAATTTTTTTGTAACTCAATTTCTTCAATTCTTTTCCTTTTATTTTTTTCTTTATTACATTTTATCTGTTTTTTCTTTTTTCATATTTTTTTTTTATATTTACTTTAATTTTTTTTTTAATATTATTTTCCTATTTTATTTTTAATTTTCTCCAAATTTTTTTTATATTTTTTATAAAAGTAAAAATTTATTAAGTGCTTACTTAGACTACGTAAAATAGAATCGTTACATTATTTTTGCATTTCACATTTATTACCAATTTTTAATATTGAAGTTGTCAGTGAAAGATTAAAAAATATATAAGATAAGAATAAAATTGAAATTGAAATAAATCAAGTTTCATCGAGGCAAAAACAATTTTTATATCTAACGCTCCCGAGTTTTATGGGAGAAAATCTTTTTAAAAAAAATATATAAAATTGAAATGATTGCAAATCTCACAGAAAAAATTCAGAAAAATAAGTAATTTGGTACGAAGTAATTGAAAATGAAAATAGAAAAACACGAATGAAAATAAATCACAAAAAAATATAAAAGACAACAAGACCATAATAATAATATAAAAACTCTCAACTGCAGAAATGCAACCGCAAAATAATGAAATCGTAAAACAAAACAGAAGAAAAAAGATACAAAAAAGCGATACTCCTAGATATGATATCAAAGATGGTCAACGTAATTGCAACTTAAAGACCAAAAAAAAAAAAATCAAAATTTAAAACAACCAACATAACAAAACCATTAGGAAACGATGAAATGACACAAACAATAAACAATATTACTTAAAATGAAACATACAAACTAAACAAAAAAATATTAAAATATAAAAATATAAAAACGAAAATTTTTAAGCATATTCTTTATATTTATAACCGTTAATATTTTCGAAAGTAAGGAAAAAATGTTAAATAAAAAAAAAATGTGATGTATTTCAGTTTCGATCACGGCAGATGCGCTTGGCTGGCTGCTCCTCGTCGGATGGTGCAATAGATTGCAACATAGCATTGTTTGTATATTTGCCAAATAAGGTCAAAATGAGTGCAACACCATAACCAGTAGCACGTTCACCCTATATAAATAAAAAGAAAAATTTATTAATATTTAAAATTTCTTTAAAAAATTCAATGCAATCATGAAATTTGAAGCTTTAAAGCTTGAGGCTATTAAGTCTCAAGTTCAAAATGCTTATAAGTTAGTCACAATAAACACTTACGCAATGCACTGGAGTTGCCATGTCAACATGTATCCAAGCGCCAGGATAATCAAATCCTAAATGAGCTGCTATAAAAATACCAGCACAAGATGACTGGGCATTATTACGGTCCTGAAATAAAAATAGTAAATCGTTAGTGAATTTCTAAACATGAATAAAATAAAACAATAAAAAGAAAAAATAAATAAATTGAAAACAAACTAAAAATAAGTCAGAGATTACTAATTTTAGAAACATATTCCATGGTCACAAGATTTTTATATTAAAACTAATAGCAGAGAACACCAATAATGTTAGCAGTGGACTACACACCTAAATAGCTGAGGTCCTTTCTCAGCATAAAGCTGACATGAACTTAACTCAATAATTAAAAATTAAAATAAAATAAATTTAGATTAAATAAAAATTAAATTAAATAAAAATATAATACACTATTTAAAAGGAAATTCGAATATTTTCTAAGTCCACGGATGATAAGTATTTGACAATATTCGAAACACCGTTGTATAGTCAACCAAATTTCAATCAACTAAAATAACTAAATAATTAAATTATTGTTCAAGTCTTTTCTTTACTATTCGAATCCATCTAACTTTCTTCGATTCTTTGTCGTCATAAGAAACGTAACTTTCTATCAAAATAATCAACTTTAAAAATATAATAAATTGAATTAAAAATAAAATAAATATCATAAAATTAAAATAAAAGTAAATATAAAATATAAAATATAAAAAAAGAATAAATAAAAAAATAATAAAATAATACAATAATAAAATAATAATAAAAGAGATAAAAAA